GTGTACAGCAAATGTCACTCCTTAAAACAGCAGATCTAGCGAACTACCAAGATAACTTACGAATGCCAGTTACGCTTTATGATACCAATGACACGTCCAGCTGGTCGTGGTGAACTAGAAGTAGAATCTCCATTAGAGCCCACTACCGATGTAGTTCTTGGGGCATCATCAGCGCTACCAGGAACAAGATGAACATCTTCTTCCTCATCATCATCTGCAACAATAGAATCAGAAAGTATGCATCATAGTGGGATTGCATGTGCGCATGTGCGAGAGAGAGAAGTTCAATCCCCAATAGAAACTTGAATTGGAAATACAACCACCAATCCCGAATAGAAACTTTGGAAATACGAATCAAGTCATCATAGAATTGAACTTCTTACATTTAGTGAGAATATGACTCCAAACCTAACCAGTACAGAATTCACACAGGCCTTATCCGTTATCATTTAAATAAAATATTCATGGGGATATAAATTATAGCACCTTCATCAGCTATAGTCAAAGACTTCTCTTCATGCCACTGATCTCGAGACAGAAGTTCAACTGCTACAACATCACCATCAAAAGCCCGGTTCATGTTGGTACGCCCATAAATAATTATTTCGTCACCAATACTCTCACTTCCCACATATGCTTCAAATGGATTGTATCGATTAACACGGAGCTTTCCTTGATGATATATACCACGATGTAAACCAGAAGTAATTTCTGACATGGGTTTATGCTGAAAAGAAAGAAGAGCAGGATGTGTTATAGACCAGAAACCTTACAAGACGGCTGTATCTTACCAGAAATAAATGAAGTCTAGCATAACTCATATAATACCTCAAAGTAGAGAACCTTCCTCTTCGATGGCCTCATATCTTCAACTTCCTCCATATTTGCATCTTCATTTGCACTTTGCACTAACAGGTCAAGTAAATGAGTTTGACCCAAAGATCTAACATATGATTCAACTGTAAAGAAGATACAAATTACCAAGTTAGATAAGTATATGAAAAAAAGCACTCGATGTTGTACTGTATTAGACACAGAGATTTGAAGCAATGCCAAAGATAAATACACATCTAACATACTTGTCTCTGCACAAATTCCCTCTTCAACAGCCTTTCTCCTATTCTCTCTGTCATTGGTTATGAGTAGAACACGAGTAGCACCGCCAATATGATTCTGATACCACTGAGCAGCCACTCGAATTGCTGACTCGCGAGGTTAGAGATAACAGTCAACATCATTTAAGCAAGCATTTTTTACAGTAATTAGCTTATAGAAAGTTATGAAAACAAAAATACAGGATATCTAGGCAGTTACTGTAAATAATGAATTAGAATGCGAGTATGAACGGACATATGAGAATGTGTATGAAATATAATTATTGTATATGTGGAACAGAGTATGGATGAAAATATATGCAGTCCAGCTTCAGTAAGCGAAGATTAAAGCATCACATCATGTAATTTCAAGAGAATACCTCTATCATTTCGATCATTTTTACTTTCTCCACTCATCTCCTTAACATATGTATCCCTGCCAAAACAATGTCATCAAAGGAAGCTCAAAATTCATGACACCATTAAAATGCACGTTTTTCCATATAGATTTTGATGCTTCATGCCATGGGATGTTGCAAAAATGTTATAGGGAAACACAGCGCATTAGAGTTGGAGGTTCATTTTCTATCAAAAACCTTAGCATCGCACTTCATTCAACCGTTACAATAACCAACCTCAGCCCTAGAAAAGCTCTTGTAAGTTGGCATTAGTTTTTTCCTTCAATTTTTATGCATGAAATCACTAGCTTTACGTAGAAGTTCAAACCAAAGGCACCAACACTCAACTGCTTAATTGGCTGAGTTTCCGTTTAGAAGTACGTAGTAGCAAATGAGTTAAAAAGTACAAATCGAGATCCCAAATTTCCATTTAGTTCAGAAACATAATAAAAGAGTATAGATTTTGAATCTCCAACCCAAGTGTGAGTCTATCCTATTGTTAATTTCGACAGTACAATACCATTCAGCGACGACCCTGAAAGTCAATATGAACGAAAGGGTAATAGAAAACATACTTATGGTGCTCATTAGAGAAGACAAAGAATCTCCGCAGAGGATTGCTGCAGAGAGCTCTAACTCTATTGTAAACAGACAGGTTCTTGTTCTTAACCTCGTCCAGCACAATCGATAGCATGACCACGTCGTCAATAGCAGGATTCTCAAGCAAATCAATCTGTAAAAACACTTCAATTCATAAAAACACTACAAGTTGAAAGCTTAACGTTAACAACAGGACCGCCCGAAAATTACCTGATTAAGAACAACATTAGTATCAAGAACTAGAATAGGGGATGTAGAGGCACTCAAACGAGCAACAGAAGAATCACATTTTTTGCAAATTGAAGTCCCACAATATATATCATCTCGAAGATAATGTTCTCTCACTTGCTGCCATGAAGAACAGAAACCCAGAAAAATAGTTAGATATAAACTATGAAGAGTACCGATTAAAAGAAGGAAACTAATAATAAGGCCAAAGATTAGTAATACACCGACCTTCATCACTTTTCCAGACTTCGTCTTTTTAACAAACGACTTGTTATGCAACATGTCTGCTGCTATTGTTCCACTAAAAGCAAAACCCACCACACAAATTGGCAAATTGCGGCAGAAGAGATATGAAAATCAAGCTAATGTTTAAAGATCAATGAACCCATCACATCGAAAATCAATTGAAATTGCCAAAATTTTGATAATGAAAAGAGATTTTGAAAACGATAATGAACCCTCTGTTAGAAATCATTGGATGCAAAAGAAACGAAAAATCTTCAACATTCAAGCAAAGGCATTCGATCAAACTCAAACTCAAGGTTAGTTTTCTAGATTATGAAACAAAGAATCGAAACCTTTAAATCTGCAAAAATAAGCGGCGGCGGCGAAAGAGACAGAGAGAGTGTGAGAGGGAGCGGACGGCGGCGAATTCGTCGGAAGGCTAAGAATCCTGATGAAACCACTGCTTTCGGAGTTGAATTACGAGAAGCGCTTAATTTTGGAAAGTGGGGTTTAATCCAAAAACAAGGGTTTTGGGGAATTTTTTTCGTTTTGATTGAGATTAAACTTTTGGGTAATTGGGCTTCAGATCAAGTGACAATACTCTCAACTTACCAAAATAACCTATTAAAAAATGTACCTTTCTTTGAGAAAATGCAAATTTTTATCGCTAATTCAAAAAATTATTCATGATCATAAAAATAAATTTATATATCGAATTGAGATATTCGAATCTAATTGAACATCGAGCCTATAATTTAAGAATTCTATTGACATGACTAAGTTTAGAGCAAGACTTTAATATCATGTTAGATGAACACACTCCACAATAATATGATATTGTCCACATTTAAGTATAAGCTCTCATGAATTTGTTTTGGACTTCCTCAAAAGACTTCATACTAAAGAGACTTTCATCCAACTGTCGAAATATAGGCTTAATTGCTTAAACATTTAAAGATGCTTATAAAGAAGATCGAATAGGTGTTGAATTCGGTTTACCGTGCGTAGGACTCAAGCATGAGAATGCTTTGATCATCTCTTTCTTGCTATCACTTTAAAGCAATAATCTTACCAAATAATTTTGAGACACATCTTTGCTTATCTTCTGAATTTTATTTTAGTGGAGGGTATTTTGGTCATTTTCACATATCATAAAAATTCGATAGACATTATCGATTCATTTAAATACTATAAATATTATGTAAATGATTTTTTTTTTTAGAGGATTTATCAATCTATTGACACGACTAAGTTTAAGTCATGACTCTGATACCATGTTAGATGAACACTACTCTCCACAATGGTATGATATTGTCCACTTTGAGCATAAGCTCTCGTGGCTTTTGCTTTGTGCTTCCCCAAAATGCCTCATACTAATGGTGGAAGTATTATTTGATTATAAACTCATGATCATTCTCTAAATTAGCCGATATGGGACTTTCATCCTCCAACAGCTAGAACGAGTATAGGAAGACTTCCTTGTTACCGTACCACTCCGTCTCGTGGACATCTTTAATAAAAAAATCCACCGTTAAAATTGATTATTTATTATTATATTAAAAAAAAATGAATGAAGGTAGGTTTAAATAAGGATAGAAAAGATTGCGTGGACTTTTCCTAGCGAGTGCAAAGTCTTAACCGTAGGAGCGCCCGTATTTGAGCATAGCCGAGACGACGCGGTAGGGCAGGGGTCAGGACCAGTATTTAAGGGCATAGCGTCCTTACCATTCAACCATTTTAAATATCTCTCAATAAAATTAATTAATAAATATACAATAATTCCACGTATTATAAAATGGAAAATTAACTTTATGAACTAAATATTTAAATATCAAAAGTTAAAAGGGTTCAAATGTAAAGACTTCCAAAATTTAGGGACTTAAATGCAATTAAATCCAAATTTTATCAACCAAATTATTTTTTAGTCAATATTTTATTAGTAACTATGTTGTGTCCTTATTTAGTTGATGATGCGGGTAGCAAAATGAACAACTACGCCAATAATATTTTATTTATGTTCATATTATCCTCTTCCATCTACCTCTAGCAGATATTATTCATTGTCAGCCTCACGATTTTAAAACATGTCTATTCGGGAGAGGTTTCAACACCCTTACAATGACTGTTTTGTTCCCCTCTCCATAGGGACTCAACGTCCTTGTTGGTGTGTCACTCGATATCTGACTCTGATACCATTTATAATAGCTCAAACCCATTATTAACCATTATTGTCTGCTTTGACTCGTTACACCGTCGTCACAATGTTAAAACATGTTTAACAATTATTGTCCGTTTCCACTTGTATCTGACTCTGATATAACTTGCAACAAACTCAAAATATATTTCGAAAAAATTAAAAATTAACTCATAATCAACATATTTAAAATTAAAAAATAATAATAATAATGAATTTAATTATTAAAAAAAAAGTGGCCATAAAACCACGTCACGTCAAGTGTTTCGCTTGTCGTCCACATCCTTCCAACGTCTCTGAACCCATCTTGTCTCGTCCCTAAACCCAAAACCTCAAATCCGCTTCCGCTCCTCCTCCGCCGCCGCCGCCGCCGCTTCAATTTCACTCCACAAACTTAATTCCCTCCCATGTCCACTCCCTTCGACCAGCTCCAGCCCCCGCCGACCGCTCATTCCGGCCACGGCTCCGTCGGCCCAGTCATAGCCGTCCTCGCAGTCATTTCCATCCTCGGCGTCATCGCCGGCATTATCGGCCGTCTCTGCTCCGGCCGCCCCGTCTTCGGCTACGGCGCCCACTACGACGTCGAGGAATGGGTCGAGAAGAAATGCGCTTCCTGCCTCGATGGCTCCCTCGACCCTCCGCCGCCGCCGGCGCATCTCCGCCACCCTCCGCCGCTCGATGCTGTTCCTGTAGTCGAACCCCTTGGTGGGCCGCCGGAAATCAAGCAAGGCGCCGATGAAAAACGCGAGAATTTGCAGTCGGCGGCTCCCGGAACCGGCGGCGGTGAGTCGTGAGATTCAATTAGAAGAGTAAAGTTTTTTTATTTTTCGAGGGTTCAATTTTTCTCTATGCAATTTAAATCTTCAATTTTTTTTAGTTCCTCAACTTTTTAAATTTTATAATTTATAGCTTATTTAATGTTTCAATTTTAAATTTTAAATAAATTTTAAAATTTTAATTCTATATAAATAAATTTTCTTAACTTGATATTTAAAATATTTACATTTTTTTAAAAATAATTTGAATAATTTAAATACGACAGAGACGCACTCGTTCAAAAAAATAAAATAAAATAAAAAATTAGAATAACTAAAATAAAATACAGAAGGGCAAAAATGTAACTTCAATACTACACTTTTTCTTTTCTTGAAAAAACACCCAAATAAACAAATAAATATTGTACTCTTTATTAAAACTTTTTATTCCTCTAAAAAGGGTGGAAATGTAATTTTCTATACTCTTTTTAGATTTTATACCATTTTTTAAAAGTGAAATTTGGGATTTATTGTGCTTTGGAATTAATTAAATATATTATTTTTTTAAAATTTATAATCTTATTAAGTAATATGGTCATTTACAAAATTTAAAAAATATAATTTGTCATTTTTGTCTAATATAATATGTAGAATTTTTATTTTAAATTTAGGAAAATTTAGGATTAAAATTGTAACTTTATTATTATTTTTTTCATATTATGTATTAAAGAATATAATATATTTGGAAAAGTTTTTATTTTCAAAAGGGGTCAAAAAGACAATTATTTGAATATTGGTGGGCCAAAAAGAATATTCAAAATAATTATTTATTTATTTTTGCTCAAATTATTCGAATCAATGTGACTCGGAGCTTGCTTCAGACCATATAGAGCTTTCTTCAACCTATACACTTTATCTTCATTATCTTTCTGTACAAATCCATCGGGTTGCTTCTCATATACCTTTTCTTGAAGCTCTCCAGGTAAGAATCCCGACTTCACATCAAGTTGATAAATAGGCTATGATTTCTGGGCTGCAAATCTCAAACCGGAGACCTTCAGGTTATTAGCACAACACTTTGGCATAAAGGTCTCGAACCTGCGATCTTCACACGACACTCTGAGCTAATGATATTACTCGTGATTGTTGTAAAACATTAAGGTTATTAGCACAACACTTTGGCATAAAGGTCTCGAACCTGCGACCTTCACACGACACTCTGAGCTAATGATATTACTCGTGATTGTTGTAAAACATTATGGCCCATGCAAGTCTCGAACCTGCGGCCTTCGCATTATTAGCACGACACTCTGAGCTAATATGTCAATGCGCATGATATTACTGGATTCTTTTTTAAAATGATTGTTGTAAAACATTATGACCCATGCAGGTTCGACGAACCTGCGACCCTCGCATTATTAGCATGACACTCTAACCAACTGAGCTAATAGGCTGCTGGCTTGCTTAATTGGTATTACTCAGATATTTTTTATTTTAAAAAAAGTAAGGTCTCGCCGCAAAATGATGCTTTACATGCATATCTCGAACATGCAACTTTCACGTTATTAGCATGACACTCTAATTATTATGGCCGATCGTTATTAAAAGATATTTTGTAAGGGTAAAAAACTATTACTCAGGTTATTAATGGTAAAAAATTGAAAAAAAACAAGTAAATGAATATAAAACAATATATTATTTATTTGAGTTCAATATAATAAAACAAACCTTTAAAATTACAACCATTTGAGATGAGTCGAAATATACTCAAAGTTGGTAACCGTGTATTTTTTAAAAATGATGATCTTAATAGATAATTTAGTATAGGGTAATTTTTAAATTTATAAGACCGGGTACATGTCAATTATTGTTGACTTAAGTTCATGTTGACCTAAGCCACAACGATTTGATGCATTATTATGTGGGTTTTGAATGAGGCTCGTGACTTGCTATTTAAATAATAACAATAGATAAGTTGTAATGATCCATACCCAGGATTCAGAATCCAAATTTGGCACCTGATGGCTCTAGCATCCCCGACAACATAGTCATGTTGCCTACTCCTTGCTTCTTAGTAGTGAAAACTATCCTCACAGACTAACACATTTGATAGCCTTGACATTCCCTTGCGACATAGTCATGTTACTTACTCCTTCATTCTTAAAAGTGAAGACTATCCCCATAAACAACCCCGAGTCATTCCAGCATGTTTTGTTCTCACTCACATGCATCCCAAGAAAATTTCTAGGAAGTCACCCAACATAGCACGCTCAACCACAAAGTTCCCTATGATTGAGCCACTGAAAAAGAAGGTGCATCTTGTTGGTATAGGTCGTAACTTTCTTTTCTTTTAAGCTTTTCTTAGTCATCATATATTCATAATCGCTCTCATTCGAATGTAGTTTTAGTTCATTTTTTTATTCTTCTCGATCGTTTATTTGATTGATTAGGGTAATAAAAGTTCGGAGTAATAATAATTGAGTCAATTATTCACTAAAGAGTATATTTTAAAGCATAATTATGATGCACACAAACCACTATTGGGAGTTGTTGAGTGAGGAAAATTAAAAGATTTACCTTTGGAGGGCCATATGGTTAACATGACAAGTAAAAAGTAAAAAGGTGTAGGTGGTGAAAAAGTGAAAATGATTTTAGTTGGTGAAACGTGTCAAATTTTTATTGGTGTTGATAAATAAACAAATAAATATTTGCGGTTTAAAATTAGTGTGCAACCGTACAAACCATCTCTAGTACATATTATATGTTTTAGATCATTACATATTGTCATCAGTCTCACGTTTTTAAAACACTTTTATTAAAAAGAGGTTTTCACACCTTTATCGGGAATGCTTGGGTTTCCCTCTCCAACCGAGATGTGGGATTTCACAATCTACCCCTCTTGAGAGCTCAACATCCTTACTGACACATCGTTCAGTGGTTGGTTCTGTTATCATTTGTAACAGTCTAAACTCACGGCTAGTAGATATTGTTTATTTTAGCTCGTTACGTATCGTGTCAACCTCACAATTTTAGAACATGTCTACTAAAATGAGATTTCCACACATTCATCCAGAATTATTACGATGTCTCGTGAGATTCTCGGAATTGGTGTAATTTGTGAGAGGACGTGAATGATGTCCTTTCATCATTTCTAAACAGATAAGCATGGCAGCTGGTTGTGTTCTTGTCTGGTTTTTTTTTTTTTTTGTCTTTTTTTTTTTTTTTACATAATTAGTTGACCAATCAACACAGCTTTTCAGCATGGTTTTTGGTTCAAATCCCATCCCATATTCTTCTTTTAATTCATTCATCATTTTTGTGCTGTAAACTTTGACCATTCTTTCATGATTTTGTCTCAAAAAATGTTCAAATTTTGTGGTTTTTGTTTTAAACAATAGTTTTGGGTAAAACTCGAAGTTAAATCCGTTCGGTTGAAGGATTTATGAATGAAAATGAACGTATAAAACCCGTGTTCGTTTGAAGGTTTCAAAATATGATGTTTAAGAAAAGCTTGTCCAACGTTCTAACGAACAATTGTCCTAACTTTAGTGAAATGGCATGGTAGGTGTCCCGAAACAAAAATTAGGACAACTGCACTGTTTTAGGTCACCATTTGTTTCTAAGATTTATCGAGAAGAATCAAACCACATGAGAAGAAGATGGGTAAAAGATTAGGTGTTTAACGATTGTGTTTGATATCTAAACTTTCAAGTTTATGTCTAATTTAACCTTTGTTACGTTCTTACAAATTTATAAGCTAAAACTTTAAATTAACCTTTAACATGTTATTAAGTAGAAGTTCTTATAACCAACATGTGAGACCTCACGTTCGTTAGAGAGGGAAACCAAACATTCGTTATAAGGGCGTGTAAACCTCTTTCTAGTATATGTGTTTTAAAAATAATGAGGCTGACGACTATACGTAATGGGCCAAAGTGAACAATATCTGCAAGCTATAGGCTTGAGTTGTTACAAATGATATAAGAGCTAGACATCGGGCAGTGTGTCAGCGATGCTATTGATCCTCTAGTCCCACAAACTTTTTCAACGTGTGAAAACGTTCATACATTTTAAAAATTGTGAGCCTAGCGGGTGACCGCGAAAATTGTGTTCCTATTTTATTCTTCATATGACATGTTTGGATGTTGTCTCATCAAACACCAAATCAATTTTTTTTTTCAAAGTTAGGTTCAATGAATCAAATACGATTCCATGTCTAGAAAAAATGGAAAGTTTGGACGGAAAATACCTCAATTTCGGCTAATATGAGCATAGTTCAATTATCAAATAAAAGTGAAAACGATTACAGCTCCGGAACAAACTTACTAGCCTCACTGCTTCCTTATTTTTTTTTGCATCTTACTCGTATCTTTTGTCGAGATAAATCATATTCTCGTAACCCTTATCACTACTTTTCAGTCTCGATGGAAAATGTGGGAGAGGAGGAAGGAAGATGCAAACACTTATTTACTTCGAAAAATCAGTCCTTGTACAATATGAACATAGTTTATATCTTTCGTATTTTGTATTTTTAAATGATTTATACACTTCTATTTTATTACGTTATTGTGTCAAAGCTTAAGGAATTAATTTTTCAATTAATCAAACTAAAATTATCAAACTAAAATTTGGAGAATAGCTGATCAAAGAAGACATTTTCTACCATCTTTAAGGTGGAATGATTGCTCTCTAATCTCGAATTGTCGGGTTGGACGAGCCAACAACTCGTACGCCTTCGGTCTGTTTTTTCAACAAGAATCACAACATCACCTTACCTTCTCGAAAACTCCAAGTTCTAATGGCAGAGTGAACAAAAACTAAGAAGGATGTCATACTTCAAAGAACAAGGAATATATGAAGCACGACGGGTAGATCATATCTTAAACTAGGGTGGTTCGGGCTGATAAAAAACCATCCAAGTTTTTGTTTTTTTTTCATAAAAAAAACAAAAACAAATCTCTCATTACAGTCACATGGAACATTAATCATGTTGGGTTGGTTTTTTCCCTTAATGATCATGAAAAAGTGCCAACTTTTTTCCTAAATGGGAGAAAAAACATCATTCGAATAAACAAATTATCATCTCAATCAAACTTTAAACCAGAAATATTTCAACCCAAATTCCCAAAAAGGGAAATTAACAAAACACAAAAGAAACTAATCCTACAAAAATAATTCACATTCTCTCTGATTCTCTCCTCTTTTATGTACTGAGAACAACGATCCTTCTGTAATTGACAAACTCCAACGTATTGTATTATATTATATGCCTCCAAAATTTGAACATCTTTACCAGCCTGAGTTTTTCAGTACCCATAGCTCTCGGATTTAGTATCTTCCTCGTCCTCCATGCCGTCGCCTCTGGTCGTGGAATACCCTCCATTCACATTGAACTGGAGCGGACCTTGTGGTGAGGCTGACTGCGAGCTGCTCACCTTTGAGGATTCACCACACCCATCTTGGGACATCCTTAAATCTCCTAGAACAACTGGAGATTGGTCTGCTGCTCGGGCAGCTGGTGTCGATGGTACTCGCCGAGTATGAAGACGGTATTTCTGCATTGACAAGCAATATTATTGATGAGTTTAGAAGTTTTCAGGAAAATGAGTTGCAAATGGGAATGTTTGTTTTTTCTGAAACCTTACTTGTAAATGGCTTTTTACTTCATCATTGGTTAGGCCATCTACCTGCATCAGTTCTCTTATTTGCTTTGGGGTTGCGACTGCATTTGATCGAACATGCTTGAATTAGAGATAGGTTGAGTGCCATGAATTTTCAAGAAAATTATCACAAGTTAACTATGAAATCCCACATTGGTTGAGGAGGAGAACGAAACATCCTTTATAAGGGTGTGGAAACCTCTCCCTAGCAGACGCGTTTTAAAAACCTTGAGGGGAAGCTTGAAAAGGAAAGCTCAAAAGAGGACAATATCTGCTAACTGTGGACTTGGGCCATTATAAATGGTATCAGTGAGAAGGCTGAGCCCCGAAGGGGATGGACACGAGGCGGTAACACTAGGCTCCAAAGGGGGTGGAATGGGGGGTCCCACATCAATTGGGATACGGAACGAGTGTCAGTGAGGACGCTGGGCCTTGATGGGGTGGATTGTGAGATCCCATATCGGTTGGGGAGGAAAACGAAGCATCCTTTATAAGTGTGGAAATCTCTCCTTAGTAGACGCGTTTTAAAAACCTTGAGGGGAAACCTAAAAGAGAAAGTCCAAAAAAGACAATACCGGCTAATGGTGAGCTTAAGCCGTTACATTAACGATCTACTCTCATCTAATTGACACAGAAAAATGATCCAACAGTTCTTCAAGAAATATGCTTATCATCTAGTTTATAAGCTCTGCGGTTGTATTGGTTTGGTTTATCCATTCACCTAAAAACTCATCAGAAACCAACAGAAAAGTGATCTAAAACTGAACCAACTTGCAATTGATTCAAACATGAAAAGCAACACAAATCCTTTTCATGATCACACAGATAGTTCTCACCTTGTGAACCTCCAAGTTGCTGCAAGGCATTCTCGAACCGCCGATGCAATTCTGGCGACCAGCACCTCCTCTGCTTCCGAGCAGGCGACTGCTGCTGAGGCAACACCGTCCGTAGATTCGACCGTATATCAGCAAAAGAGGTTGAACTTGCTTGGTTTCCACTCGACCGCAAAACACAGGAAACTAACTCTTCTCTAGGATTCTTCAAGCTGGGAGTAACCAAGGAAAGTGCACAAATGGGAGATTCAATCTTCTCTTCCTTCTTCACAGCAGAACATGACTTTAAACCAACAAACAATCTCTCTTCATTCTTGTTTGCAGCAGCTAAATAACCCCATCCCTCATTTCTCTATCACAAACAAAACTCTTCAATAACATTCAACCTATTTGGATTGAACATATTCTCAAAAACCCCACCAAGAATTCTATTGTTCCTTTTCAGACAAATAATGCAATAAGAACAGATCACAGAGTTAGTCTATTTGTAGGTACCTTAGTTTTGATTTGGGCGTTCGGCAACTGATCAGTCTTCCATAGCTGAACAGAGCTCATCCATTCCTTCTTATCTCCACAATCCTGTTCCTTCTCCTCCTCATCAGAAGAATCTCTGTTCAATGACAAGAATTCCTCCAGAACCAGTTTGGGCTTACCCAAAGCAAGGATCGCTACAAAAACAGAAGCACATGAACAGAAAATTCAAATCCAGAGAAGCCCTAAACAAAGAACATTCAATCCCAAAATCAAGAACAAATCAAATGAAATCCAAAAACCGATCTCCCAGACTCAAATTAAAGTTGCTGAAACCTAAAAACTGACCATCGTTCAATAGAAGCATACAGAAGGGAAGCTCCCGCTTGAAGGCATCGATCTTCTTCATTTCATCCTGCAAGTTCTTCACAAGATCATCGAGTTTCGAAGTCCGATCGGCGGCATTCGTAAGCATCGAAATCTGACGGAGGAAATCAGTGATCGTTTTGGGTTGAAAATCCGAAACAGAACCCATTCCGATCGTCGTCTGATTCCGCCGATTCAGATTCCGATCGTGTGGGGTTCAGAGCCGATGAGAAACCGCAAGAGTATTACGCGGAGATTCTGTGTTGCAGGGGCGGAGAGGAGAACGGAGATTCTTTTATATTTAGTAAAAATATAAACAAATTTATTTACAGATTCCAAAAATTAAATAATTTAAAAATAATAATGGAAGTGCAGAGCACGCGCTACAAGAGCAAGTGGTGAAAGTAGAGAAATCGTGTTTAAGAATTTTGTATCTATTTTATAGCCAAACAGTCTATTTATAAGTATTTTTCAAATAACATTTTATTCTAACGATAGAATAATTGTATTTTTGAATAGGATAATAATTTAATTTTTAAAAAATTAGTATTTACAAATTTATTTCGGTAAAAAAATATTATGAAAATTTAACGTGGGTATAAAGTATTTAAAACTATAATATAAGAATTTATTGTATTTTTTTTTAAAAAAATTAAACATTTTATTAATGAAATTCCAAAAAAGAGAAATTTTTAAAATAATTTTGAAAGGTGAGAATTAATATTATAATTATAAGTCACATTTTCATTTTATTATTATTAAAGGGGATTGCATTAGTATTTCCCTTCTCATCAAATTTTGATGATGGAGAGCTCCTTTATAAAAGTCCAGTCACTCCAATTAGCTCAAGTTCATATTGTACTCTTCTTCGGTAAGCTTTTGTTAGCGACAAATGTTTTTTCCAGCTAGGAGATATTGTCTTCTTATTCTTTAAGGTTTATGCTTTTTCCAGTTTTGTTAGCAGATATGTCTAGACTTTGTTAGTAGATCGAGTATTTTGATACTAGAATAGGGTATATCTGACTACTTTGTTATTAGATAGGGTATATCTAGCTACTTTGTTACTAGATAGGTATATCTGTCTACTTTATTATTAGATAGGATATATCTGGTTACTTTGTTACTAGATAAGGTATTTCTGGCTAAGATAGGGTATATCTGGGGCTAGATAAGGTATTTCTTGCTAATATCTGGCTACTTTTTACTGCATTCATCAAATATACTTTTTTCCATTCCCTCAAGTTTTTTCCTTGGATTCCCCCAAGTTTTAAAACGGCTAGAAACGAAAAAGTTTTCACTCTCAAGTTTTTCTTTGGATTCTCTCGAGATTTTGAAAAGCATATAGGAAAAAATTTTCACACCCAATACCTTCTCTGGCACTCGTTCCTCTCTCCCATCGATGTGGGATCTCATAAGCTCTGACACTCTCTTCTTCTCTGGCACTCGTTCCTCTCTCCTATCAATGTGGGATCTCATAAGACCAAACACAATGAGATTAACTGTCTAGAGGGGAGGCGTGCGAGGTAACATCATGGACAAAAAGAACAGCACACCAAACTACTCTTTATAATTTTCGCCACAAACAGTCAAGCTTTGTACCCCATTGAACGATCCTATGAGAGCCACCAACCCATAAGAGCACATCTCCCCCTGATAACTCAACTAAAGGGGAGTCGAATAATAGGGTCTCAAGCCCAACCTCGTGGTTGCAAAGAGCACAAGCCTAGTGCAATATATTATACTTTCTTTTTTTTTTTCATCATAGTCCCATAATGTATATGTATATATTCACATTCTCATATTCTTGATATAAGCTTCTCCGGTTTGGTGTTTTATTGATCAGCTCAACAGTTGTATACTTTCTGTAGCAAATATTTGAACTGCTTGTCCAACCTTTGTTTACATCTCTGCATCCAATAATATGAATAGGAAAGTAACTTGGCATTTCATGAGTAAAGTTCATTACAGAGGCCCTAAAATGGCTATCAAAATATGTTTTGTATATCGGTAAAAAATGAAGGAAGAACTGATAAACTACACACCATGGTCAACTTTCTGAATTGGCAGTTTCCTGCACAGCAGGAGATAAGCTTTGCGCTCCATTTGAATTTCCATCTCGAGATGGTTCAACTCCGCGAACCGATGGGGGTTGCGATTGGGTTTGTCCCACTGTCTGTGTAGGACCCGGAGCTGAGGGTGTTACTTCCTGAGAATACACGCCCGGTGGTGGAGGGTACTCACTCTGTTCATACATGGGCTGAGGTGGATAAGACTCGGAAGGGTCATTTCCAGCCTGAGGAAGCAGTTGGGTCGTGTCGCTTGGGTAAGTCCAGTACCCAGACAGAGGGTTTGCCATTGGTTGGCCATTGGAAACTTGGTATGCTGCACCCGGATATGTACCCTCAGAGGTTCCATTTGTTGATGGCACAGAAGGTGGTGCACCCCCTGAGTTAAGGTACATGCTTTGCCGATCGTCTGGATGAAACTGGCCGGAGAAATTTTGCCCATAACTCGGTGCCTGTTGGGAGTAGCTCTGATCATAACCATGAGTGCCAGTTGAGGCTGATTGACCGTAGGCATAGCTATGATACGGAGGAGCTGACCCGAAATGAGACTGTTGGCCATAGTAATCATATCCTGTACTTTGTTCGGATGGCTGAATGGTTGATTGGTTTGCCTGATCCCAGCTTCCTACTTGAGTTGGATAATTACTATAATACGGAGCCCCTGGAGGCGGTGGATAGGTTCCGGGTGCATATCCATATTGGGGTTGCTGCAATGGAGGTTGTCCAGCTTGAGACCAATTGTTAGGAGGGGGGTACGTTGGTTGTGCATAGCTAGTAGTTTCAGAGGCATTTACCAGACGTTTCTGCAGAAAGGGGAGCATTTACGTCTCAGAATAATAGCATTCAAATTCCAGCAGCCGATCAAAGTGTACACTAATGAAAGATACAATAATGATTTGCAGTGAACTTAGCACAAACATATGAGCAAAATGTTAGAACACACTTGCCATGAAAATTACATCAAGCATAGTTTGATCAAAACCACAGAAACCTCAGCAGAAATTAATGGAGCCAGGAAGATATTAGGGGCGTAGCTATTAAGATATTTGACAGTTCAGATGTTATTTCCTAATGCTTCCATTTAGAATTCTAGGAAATCATTCTTCCATACAAAAGTATGCTAAGGCAATACAGGTACCTGATGACTTACCCCATTTATTACTTCGTTAATCATTTCTTTGGCTGACTCGATCTGCTCCTTCAGACCATTAATATAAACAGTTCTCTCAATCGAAGTATCTCCTGGAGGAAGGTGCAAAGGGATAATCTGTAGGGTAGGAGTCCGAACAAGAAAATGATTAATAGCATTCTGGATTCAGATAACAGCCTTAAAAAGATAAGAGGCGAGACGTCACATCTTGCGTTCCACATGAAGAAACAAAATCATATCGAGTATTAAGAGTATAATGTGAACGATGCAGAGACCCATATAATATTTGCCCCAATGGCTAAGACGACTAAGCAGTTCTTTTGGGGGGATAAACAGAGTTAGGGGAACAAAGATGTCGGAATAATGTGATGGTAAACAATTCTGACAAGTCAAGGTTACAAAACTAAACAGATTGGAGCAGTAATATGCCTTAAAGCTTGCTAATTTTAGACTCTTAGATGATTTGACCTGCAAAAAATTGGAAACGGTTTGATGGTCTCCAGTTCTCACAAGTTAAATAATACCTGAACGCGTGCAACTGACTTGCTCTGTATACTCTTTATAGTTTCACCTCCCTTTCCAATGACAAGTGCAACCTATAAACAAAATTTTTATCATAATACTAGTTTAACCTTCAAGGGTAGATAAAACACAACGAAAGCAATTACCTTATTATTAGGAATCTTCATTACAAACTGCTCGACTCCAGGTTGACTTGAGTTCATTGCCTGATTTGCAGTTGAGGCAGAACCCCCTGAATCTGCCTGTTACAATAAGGTGCCAAAATTAGTTTTACATCTACTGTGAGATCCCACGTCGGCTGGAGGATGGAACGAATCATTTTTTACAAGGGTGTGGAAACCTCTCCCTAGCATACGCGTTTTAAAAAACTTTGAGGGGAATCCCGAAATAGAAAGCCCAAAGAGGACAATATCTGCTAGTGGTGGGCTTGGGCTGTTGCAAATGGTATCAGAGCAAGACACTGGGATGTGCCAACAAGGAGGCTGAACCTCGAAGGAGGGTGGTAGACACCAGACGGATGGGGAGTCCCACATCGATTGGCGAGGGCAACGAGTGCCAGCAAAGATGCTGGGCCCGAAGGGGGTGGGATTGTGAGGTCCCACATCGGTTGGAGAGGGGAAGAATCATTATTTATAAGGGTGTAGAAACCTTTCTCTAGCAGATGCGTTTTAAAAACCTTAAGGGGAAGCACGAAAAGGAAAGCCCAAAGAGAACAATATCTGCTAGCGATGGGCTAAGGCCGTTACATTTACAACACAAAGGTTGGCAATGATAACATTTTAATTAGTGCTTACCTCCGCAATTGCTTCATTAATAAGTTGTTCTGCCCTGCTAACTTGTTCTGAAGTGCCCATTAATTCAACGTCTCTCGTCAAAGACTGAGGATCAGCTTCGAAATCTCTAGTGATCTGGATTTTAGCCCCTGATTGAAGTTGTAGGTATTTGATTGTTTCTCCACCTTTCCCGATAATCAATCCAACCTACAAACGGATTTGAAAAGAAATAATCATCATTGTCAGTAATATGCAAATGGTAATCTATCTAACAAACAAGATGAGCAACCAAGTACCTTCATAGTTGGAATATTTATTTTCTTACTCGTGGTTTGAAACCCACGATATGGACCTGTTTGAGTACCAGAAGAAACTGAACACTTGAAAGTTAGCAAAATCTAGCATTGAAATTTCGAGTCTCTTTTCAATAGAAAGTGCAACGACATGTTCAGTATTTAATTTACACAGAATGCAGTGTGAATCTCAAGGTTGCCAAAGGATGTTGGAAAATCCTAATGCAAGAAGCAATACACGACATGAAGCATGGATATTTGAGTATGAAAATACATGAACATCTGCTTCCTGATTAGTAGAATCAAAATTCTTAATCATATTAAACACGTCAAAAAAGAATCTCAAGTAACAGGCAATTAGATACAAACAAACATAGGAAAAGCAACCAAAAAAAAAAAAAAGGATTTTCAGTGACGAACACAAAAGATCTCGAAGATTGATCCAAAAGATTCCATAAATGCTTGAAATGGTCATGAAACTAGAGCAAGATTGATCCAAAACATGGAGCTACCTGTTGTTAAACGTGAAAGGGAAATTTTCATTTGCTTCAAACCACAAATTTCCATGAAGACAGAGTTTCATTTTCATCAACATTCCCATTGTTTGGCAGATTACAACGTGGTGGAAATCTAAAGAACACAATAAGGGTTCTAATTGTTACAAACTCCATAACACTCTCCGAACCTAATTTCGGAACCCTTGGGTTGCCGATGAATTGATGTCACCCACCCCCACAAAGTAGACTAATCTTTAGAGAAAAATTGATGCCCAGTTTCCGCTTATAGCTATGCTACCAAACTAGTCTATATCAACCACAAATGAATGAACAAAAATTCATGTCGCAAGAATCAGTAAGAATCCTACATATGTACGAACAAAAATCCTCTGGCTTACCAGGAAATGAAGAGGAGGGTAATGGAGGGTTTTGTGGCGCGGGGGCGGTAGCGGGTGATTCATAGTCAAAACGAGGGCGTTTGGACTCGGCATCGCTCACTATCTTAGCAACGATTTCCTGAGCTTTTAGCTTAGCCAATTGAATATTCTGTTCGAGCTTGCGCTTGTTAGAGTCGGAGTGAAGCTCTTCTCCGTCATCGGAGTCTTTCATGGCGGCCGGAATCAGGCGAACTCCGGCGCAGAGAGTGAGAGTAAAAGAGGAATGAAGATTCAGCGGTGTGGCGCGGCCGGGAATGATGGTGTAGGGCTTTTTGAGTTCGAATCGCTTCAAAACGAAATTGGATTTGGAAGGTCTTGTTTTTCCCAAGTCTTTGTTTAAGTCAAGAACTCACTATTCTCCTTTCTTTTCATTAAATTACATTTTCAAATTTGTCTTTTTTATTATAAAAAATATATTTTTCAATTGAGTTCGGTTTCTCGTGTCGCCTTCATCCTTCATAAGATCATTGACGGAGTCGACGATGTCAGCTACGACTTATTCATTGTATTCATGGTTGTTACTCTGTTTGTCATCGCCTGTTTCGTGTCATGGCTACCTCGATCATCCTCACAACATCAAAGACAGGAAACACGAGAGTATTTGTTTTAGTGCAGGCCCTACTTTCGGGTGCCAAGTTTGTAACTTTGTGCACGTATGGAAAACGTTAATAATTGTGATTAAAATAGAAGTTTAAAAGCATATAGACTAAAATAGACAGAATCTCGAATTAGAAGCAAGAAGATAATATGGATATTCAACATTATTTTGGGGGTAATTTGGTAATATGAATTATGGTGACATGATTTTGAAAATTTTTATTATTCTCGAACCTACACAATTTTTTTAGACTTCATTTAATGCTTATCTCGGATGTCCATCACTTAAGCATAATCTGCCTCGTGCTATAAGAACCTATCGACCAGTTCACCTGCTCGATCGATCACTTCATTCTAATGAAGCCTGCAATTGATTGAAAACAAATCCATAAGTTACCCAGCTACCAACATGAGAGACGAAATGATAGAACCAAATAGAACTAAAATGCTATCGACATATACAACTTGAGCTAAACTCAACTGATCAAGGGATATACCTTCAGCTAAGAGGTCAGTGGTTTGAATCCCCAAAGAGAAGCCAAATAATTCATGGTACTTGGACTCTCCCATTCTTGAGATCACTCGAGCCTAAGCCAACTAAATTGACTCCTAATTTTACCCTTTCTCCCCATAACAACATCCCTAACCAATTATTACCATACCCTAATACCCTAATAACATTTTCGATAGCAATCCTATAACAAAGCTACTCTTGAGTTCGACCTTCGTATCGAGGCACCCGAGTCATAACTACTCACATGGGGTATCAAAATGAAATTAGATACTAAAAAGCATCGAGTCGATTGCTAGTAGTAAAGTAATACCTGGTCCAATGTTCTCTACGCCTTCTCATTGTGCTTCAACAACGTCGATGTCTTTCGAGGTCTTTAAAACCAGAGAAACGAAGACCATAGAGTTCGAAACAAACCTTCAGTAGCAAAATGCGATATGAATATCCGACCCCAATATGGATAGTACGGGTCGGGCCGTTTAATGAGGGCGAAGAACATAGCAATGGTGATCAAATGTCATGGCACTTCTAGATCTTGGAAAAAGGAAAAGGGTGTGTTAGATGAACACGATTAGGAAGCCCAAAACAAAGCAATGAGAGCTTATACTCAAAGTGGATAATATCATATCATTTTGGAGAGTCGTGTTCATCTACCAGGGTGGATAGCAAAAAAGAACTACGGAAGATTTCATCCATGACTAATACGACAATGCCTCAAGAAACCTTCTGAATTTCCCACACAAATCATTAATGTAAGTTTGCCGCTACAGTTTAAGGCGTCCAAGATGAAAAGGTTTCCTCATAGACGATGTAGATTGTCGAAAACTAGGAAGACTAATAAGCCGTGTTCAAACAATCCTAGCGAATATCATTTATGCCGTTTTTGTTGAAGTTTTGATGCAATAACAAAGATCAATACTTGGTATGTGAGATCCCACATCGTTTAGGGAGGAGAATTAAACATTCTTTATAAGGGTGTGAAAACCTCTCCCTAGTAAACCCATTTTAAAAATCTTGAAAGGAAGTTCAAAGATGACAATATCGGCTAATGGTGGGTTTGGGGGCGTTACAAATGGTATCAGAGCCAGACACCGAGTGATAGTGACAGCGAGGAGGCTGAGCTCTGAAGGGAGGTAGACACAAGATGGTGCGCCAGCAAGGCACTGGGCCAAAGGGGGTAGATTGGAGGGTCCTACGTCGATTGGAGTAGGGAACGAGTGCTAGCAAGGACGCTACGCCCTGAAGGGGGTGGATTGTGAAACCCCACATCGGTTGAAGGGAGAATGAAACATGTCCCGAAGGAGGTGGATACGAGGCGGTGTGCCAGCAAGGACGCTAGGCCTCGAAAGGGGGTGGATCGTGAGATCCCACATCGGTTGGGGAGGAGAACGAAACATTCTTATAAGGATGTGGAAACCTCTCCCTAGCAAACACATTTTAAAAACCTTAACGGAAAGCCCAAAGAGGACAATATCTGCTAGCGGTAGGTTTAGGCCGTTACATGGACAATAGCCATCCGGGTGATCCATTCAACTAAAGTCTCACACAAAATGGAGAGAACGATGCAGAAATCATACCTTAAGAATTGGAGATAGACTCAAAGCTGTCTGTCTCATGACCTCGGCAACGGAGAAGCCGATTATAAGCGGAAACGGGACAATAAGAAGCTTCTTTTGATGCGCACAGTAGGACGTCTCGCTGAGGGAGGTAACGACGAGTAACGGTATACACAAGTAACCATCAAAACGAGATCAGCTATAAGCTGGATGAAATTATCCAATGCCTCATTCCAAGGGAAGCATTACACTGGCTCTTGTGAGCTTTCCCAAAGCTTTTTTACCCTGTCCTTCAAACTATCCCATCTTACCCTTCCTGAATCGTCTGATTGTCCTGCAGTCATATTCATAGCACAAGAAACCACAGATCTAGCATTCTGATATCTTTTATGTGGTTTTAAACTCACTTCGTGGCTAAGTTCGGGCCAATATTATTAGACGAATACGACTCTCCACAATGGTATGATATTGTCCACTTTGAGCATAAGCTCTCATGGCTTTGTTTTGGGCTTCCCAAAAGGCCTCACACCAATGAAGAGTGTATTCTTAGATTATAAACCCATGACCATTCCCTAAATTAACCGATGTGGGACTTTCATCATCCAACAAATATAACACGACTCAACTATCGAAGTCTTGACATTACACGTTTGGATAGAAGAATTCAGTGAAAGAATAGAATTTAGGAAAACGAACGGGCAACACGACACTCCACAATGATATGATATTGTCCACTTTGAGTTTAAGTTCTCATGGTTCTGCTCTAGGTTTCCCCAAAAAGCCTAATACAAATTGAGATGTATTCCTTACTTATAAACCCATGATCAACCCCTTAATTAGTCGATGTTGGAACCCATGATCGCTTTAGGTTTCCCCAAAAAGCCTAATACAAATTGAGATGTATTCCTTACTTATAAACCCATGATCAACCCCTTAATTAGTCGATGTTGGAACCCATGATCAACCCCTTAATTAGTCGATGTTGGACTCCTCTATCAATAATCTTCAACAATCCTCCCTTCGAACAAAGCACACCATAGAGCCTCCCCTAAGCCTATGGAGTCCTCGAACAGCAGGAGCCCTCGAACAAAATAAACTCTTTATTCGACGCTTGAGTCACTTTTGACTACACCTTCGAGGCTCGCAACTTCTTTGTTCAAAATTTGAGGATTCTATTGACATGGTTAAGTTAAGGGCATGGCTCTGATACCATGTTAGGGATCACGACTCTCCACAATGGCATGATATTGTCCACTTTGAGCATAAGCTCTCATGGATTTGTTTTTGGTTTCCCCAAAAGACCTCGTACCAATGGAGATGCATTCCTTACTTATAAACCCATGATCATCTCCTTAATTAGCCAATGTGGGACTCCCTCCCAACCATCTTCAACAATCTTCAACAATCCTCCCCTCAAACAAAACACACCATAGAGCCTCCCCTTAATCGAGGCTCGACTCCTTCTCAAGAGCTCTCGAACAAACTACACTATTTGTTCGACACTTAAGTCACTTTTGACAACACCTTCGAGGCTCAACTTCTTTGTTCGACATTTGAGAATTCTATTGACATGCCTAAGTTAAGGGCATTACTCTCCACAATAATATGATATTGTCCACTTTAAGCATAAGCTCTCGTGGATTTGCTTTTGACTCATGATCAACCTCTTAATTACTCGATGTAGGACTCCTCTCCCAATAATCGTCAACACGACAGGGTAAGTAAGTGACCTCGAGCCCGTTCAACAGTCAACTAGAGGTGTAGAAAATCCCTTAAAACAAAACGCAAATTCATGACAGAAATGTAAACATTACACGAGCTATGGATTTTCCAATCACCATAACCCACAAATTTGTATCAAGATTCTTCCACCAATTCAATCAAACACCAATTAGCTTAATGTACAATGAGAAACAAAACAAATGCATTCTTGAAAGCTAGAAACAGATCTCTAATAATCCCACCCACTAACTCAGGCTTCACAGAAAATACTTCATAAAGAGAAAGAGAAGAAAGGGTCGTCAAGCTTACTCTGAGCTCTAGAAGAACCGGGGCGTGAAGAGCCATTTTAGTGGAACTTTGAAGGTGCGTCGCCATCGCTGCGCCTCAATTGAAAGCTGTTGATGGATGAACACACAGTTTTGGAAGGAGGGTTTGTCACGGACACCATAAACCGCCACAAATTCTGAAAAATTCTGGGAGGATCAGCTCCAGCAAAACAAAACCCCTCAACTTCCTTCCCCACCACCCAAGTAAAGAACCGTTACAAATAACGAAGAAACTAATAGATTTAGATAAGAAGCAACATAAAATAAACCAAATTTGATACCCGAATACTCGGTTTGATAACCCGCTACTAATTATTCTTCCGCTTCTGATAAATCAAAAGGTAATCTCTCGCATCCTGCTAAGAACTAAAACATAAGGATATACAGGTTAGGTTGTACAGGTTGGGTTGAGGGTTTTCATGTAAAGGTTGGATTGAGAGTGGTTTGAGTGGTTTCAGTATCAACTCATCTTCGTAGGCCTTTTTTCCAAGTAAATATTTTTTTTAAAGTTTTCGAGTTGGATCACAAAAATTAGAATTCGATCCAAACCCAACCTGAACTAGATCAAGGTTCCAAAAAATGAATCATGCTCAAACCGAAACATATTGAGTTCCAAAAAAACGAATTTAATTCAAACCCAATCTAACCCTTATAATTTAACTTAAATCGGTTGGGTTACTGGTAATTATGAGTTTTTGAACGGTTATCTAATTTAATTAATTAATTAATAACTTAATAAAGAATTATGTTGTGTTAATGTAATTAATTAGAGCATTAAATTGGTATTAGGTGGTAATTTTATTTTTTATTTACCATGATATCATTACATATTTTAACAAAAAAAGAAAAAAGGATGGTTTATTTTTGAGTGGCTAAGATTTATTTAATAAAATTATTGCATGTATTGTTCTTATTTTAATTTCCATGATCTCATCATTTTTAGTAGTTTAGATTTGATTCATTTTTAAATTGAGTGGTTAAAATTGATTCATAAAAAAAAAAAAAAAAAAAAAAAAAAAAAAAAAAAAAAAAAAAAAAAAAAAAAAAAAAAAAAAAAAAAAAAACTCACTAAGTGTCCATTTACTTTTGTCTTTTATTTATGTGAAATTACTATTCTACCCTTGTTTATTTAATTGTCAGATTTCGACCTCTCTTTGTTGGACACGTCGCCAGCGGCTGGATAAGCCTATCTAAAATTTTCTATTTATTTTTAGAATTTTAATTTTAAATAATTTTTATTTTTTAACAAAAAAAAAATTATAATACAGCTTGAAATAAAATATTATTAACTGTGTTATATGGCTAACCTTACAATTACCAATTGCATCTATCTTCCACACTTAGGACAGATTGCATAACGAGCATGATGACAATATCAATAATAATAATAACAACCATCGTATAACATGACGTCATCCTCACCTTCCTCCGATTTATTACCAACCGTCGCTAAGAGTTTGTAGGCTTAAATAAAACAAAAATTAATATTCAAATCATATTTTATTTTACTATCATTTTCTTTCCTAACAATATCAATAATAATAATAATAAATAAAATATATTCTCAATAAATAACACGTGTACTCATATAAATAGACACATTTAAATAATCGGGACCCTCTTATTTGTTATTATTTGATTGAGATATCGAATATACAAGAACCAATAAAATAATTACAATTTTAAAAAAATAAAATGGAAGTGGAATATATTTAGTGGAGTAATTAATTAAATTTATTAGCATGAACAGACAAGGAATTAAGATCGTGAAAAATGTGATTTAAAATTAAATCCCACCAATCACCTGACAGTTTAGATTTTACTAATCAATATTTTTAACATATTTATTATTAAAAATATTCCTTTTATAATAACAGTTTTCAAAGTAATTATTTTATAAAATAAAATTAAGGAATAATGAAGATTCCCTCAAAAAATAATAATAATGTAGTTAATTAAATTATTTTCGACGGCTCATAATTCAAAATTAGTTTGAGTTCATGACGTGAACAACGCAACTAGAATTTAAACTCATCAGATGAGGTAGTTTAGTTATTATTTTTTTAAAAAGTCATATTTATCTACCATAGATATTCTTAATTTTTCTTTAAAATAGGGTAGGGTTAGTTTAGCGTTAAATAAACTAATTAAACTAATTAAATATTGAGAATAAAATAAAAGAATATTAAGATATAATAGGTAAGATATATTTCATAAATAATATATCTGAAAAAAGCCTAATTAAAATTTTTGGTCTTAAAAAAACAATCCAACCCAAAAAAAATCTTAACTTAGAATTATCGGATCATACGAACACCCTGACCACAAACTCGTGCTTCACTCTATCTTCAAACTCAAATTGAAATTTAAAAAATGACAAAAATGTCGAAAACCAAACCAAAACAAAATAGAAGGACCCAATAAAAATAAAATCATTATTTGAGTGACAGCTGGTGGTTGCAAAATTTATAACATAATATCATCATCACTCCCCATTACATTATTTGAATCCTGTCTCCTTGTGGATAATATTTCAACTATTTTCTATTTTCTATTTTATTTATTTATTTATTTTTCATTACTTTAAGTCCATATCACACTTTATTTTCCTCACTTTTTGTGTACTTTTTTTCTTTTTGTTTTTTAAATTATGAAAAAAAAACAATTATTTTTTATTTATTTTTTAATTGACTTGACCGACACACGACCCCTCATGTTACTCGCATGTGTTTTGCAATTATTCGACCTTACTTTTTTTCGACATCATAATTTAAAAAATATATTTATTTGAATTACTAATAAATAATATTCCATCATTATTGTTGAAAAAATAACATATTCTATATAGTATATAGTTTGGATTTAAAGCATAAGGAAGTTTGAAATGGTCGCCAATATGATTCCCACGTTAATAATTAAAACTTTTATTATATAATTTAAAACGATGTATCAATTGAATTGTTTATTTATTTATTTTTTATTATTATAATTTTAAAAAAGTGAAGTATGTACGTCCCAAGCATCAAAATCTAAAAATTATATATTGGATGGAAATTATTAATATTTAAAAAAAATAAATTTAATTTTTTAAAAATTATGTTTGGTAAGCATTTTATGGATAAGATAGGAAGCATTCCACTTGGATGTCAAGTTGAATTAAATTTAATAAATAAAATCAATAATTAGGGTTTAGATAAAGGGATAAAAGTACTAAAATTTAATGCCACCTAAGCCATGATTGTGATGTTTCAACTTATCCAATTGGTTCCTCATAAAGTAAAATGAGAGCTTTTAGACTTTTGAGTTTTTTCAATTGTTTTATTTAATTTTTACAAGTGGTCCATTGAGTACGAAATAATCGGATCATTTTTTACTAATTTAATTCATAATTTTACTCGATGAACGATTGGAAACATCTCCCTAATAGACATGTATTTAAGAATCGTGAGACTGACGACGATACGTAACTAAATTAATAATATCTACTAGCGGTGGGCTTAAACAATTACAATTACGATGATAAAGCAATAATACTCAATGTAGAGAGAGACGAGGAAAGAGAAAGTGAGTAGTAATAAGAAGCTACGACATGATGTGAAATTAGGGTTTATTTATTATTATTTTTTTTAAGACTATAATATAATAGTAGGGATCGAGGTCGGGATTGAGAATAGGGTTGGGACCACTACTCCCGTACTCATCCTCAAAATTAAAAATAGAAGAAATTTTTTTAATTATAAAATAGAGTAAATAGCTGATATCTATTTAAACTTTCGTGTTTGTATATATTATGTATAGTAGCTCTCGTTAATTTTGTAACGATAACTAACAAAGAAAAAAAAAATCAATAGTTTCGTTAATTTTTTTAAAAAATATTTTTATAATAATTTTAGAATAACGGAATTTCAATTATTTCATTACCTTTCGGTATATATATATTTTTTTAATTCAAGTTAAATTAAAATAAATAAATAAATATATAGACGATGTTCTTTCTCCAATTTCGCTCGCTTGGATTCCGTTATTGTGAGTTATTCGAAGAAGGTCAAGCGACTGAAGAGGAAGGAAAGCCAAGACTCAACATTAATGAGACAGATTGAACGAGGTAAACAGGACGATCTAAAGGTCAAGCTCCTTATACTCTCTTCCCTTCCCTTCTTGAACAGTAAACTCGGTAAAGCATATTATATATATATATATATATATATATATATATATATATATATATATATATATATATATATATATATATATATATATATAGATATATATATTTACATGAAATATTTTATTTATTTATTTATTTAGAAAATTAAGTATTAAAATGACAGGTGTCCCTTCTAAAAAACAATGCTTTCCTCAGCCTATGCATGGTAGCTGTCCCCACATTATTATTTTCTTTATAAAAAAATGTATTTATTTATTTATTATTTCTTTTCATTTGGATAAGAACACAGTCTTATCTGTAAAACCATTTTTTATTTCTGGAAAAATAAGCAAATTATTGTGAAAAGAATATTGGCAAATTATATAAATATTATATCTTTACCATATATATTTGGTTTCTTGTAATTTATCTATTAATTTTAATATCAAATAAAACCAAAACTTAATTAAATTCTTCAACAAAAACATTTAATCCATTAAAATTTATGAATTATGGGTCGGAGTCAAATTGTTTTTCCCAAATTTATGGAAGTATTAATTATTTGGTCCACCAAATTTAAAATATTGTCCAATAATATCACAAAGATATTTAATTTTCAATTACCCATTAATATTTTTACGTATTTATAAACTTTAAAAAAGATATAAAAGAAAAACAAATAACAAAATTTATAACTTACTTGAAAAAAAATATAAAAATACAAAAATTTTAATTCTGTGTTTTTATAATTTTTTCCAGAAAATTAAAATTTCCCTTTTCATTTTTTTTTTCAACAAAAATTTAAAAAAAAAATCAATAAATAATAATTTCAAATTAAACTACCATTGTAGAGAGAGAAAGTGAGGAGAGAGAAATGGTTGTGTCTCTTGGAGACCTCCAAGAGCCAAAATTAAGCTACAAACGTACAAAGCAATTGTCTCTTGGTTTACAATAAATTTTTTTTTTAATAAAAATAAAATTATTGGCTTTTTTTTTCATTTTATATAATTATTTATAATTTATTTTTGATACGCAATTCTTACCAACACAATCTTTAAAAATATAATTTTATTTGAAAAAAATTAAAACATTAAATAATAAATTTAAAAACAAAAATATCTTAAAAAAAAACGTTAGGAAATACACGTATTTTTTAATAATTAAAGTAAATATATATATATAAGGACAAATTACCAAAAGAGCCCTCTATTTCGCGGAATTTTCCTACCCCTTTGTTGTCTTACTATAAAAACAGATTAGAACACAGACGACGACTAAGAAATTTTCTGTAAAATTAAAAAGAAGCCAAAACGACGCGGAGAATTGACTGAAACGAAAAAGCTGTTCCGAATTTCCCAATCTCGAAGAGAAAAAGCCCTAAATCGGACGGTCGATTCTTGCTGTTCTTGAATCCGACG